TGGCCGTGCATGTTCCTAAAGCAAAGTGATAATGCCACAATCACTATCATCGCAATGGTGAGAGCCTGCAACAATGTGAAACAACATCTTTATACCTAAGGTAATTCATATGACAATATGTGCATCTTATTCTTACATCTACATCTGTTTTTCACATGCAGATAAAAAAAAGAAGACGTTTTAAATAGTTTGCTCTAGCTTACACAATAAAGTGATTTACACATTCACAAAAGAATAAAACATTTTAAATAAGCCTCAGGCACCATTTTGTGACTGAAACGTTAGCTTCTCTGTCTTCCAGAAAGCATGTTTTCAGTAGGTAACATGTAGGTGATAGGAGGTAGATTTGCATATGTGAAAAATCACATTTGCTTTATTCCATCTGTGTAGTTATTCTGCATTTCCTACTGTTCTCTATTACTCCTTAAGAATAGTAAGAATAATAAAAAAGAACCACGAAGTGCCTTGTAGGTCTTCAGCAGTCCTCGGATGTACATAACTATATGTATCCAACGCATGAAGAGAGATTCATCCGAAGTAGGAAGAAAACTGCTGCCATATTTCACACATTTCTTGGAAGGGCTCTCCATTTTGATTTTCACAATCATAACAAAGGATGTCTACATTGGAAAATAACTTCCTCCATTTTCCTTGCTCGATGAGTTCAAAGGAATTAAAATGTGAAATTCATGTGATTTCTGAAAACTTTTTGAGAAAAATTACTTTTAATTTCCTTCCTTCCTTCCTTCCTTCCTTCCTTCCTTCCTTCCTTCCTTCCTTCCTTCCTTCCTTCCTTCCTTCTTTCCTTCCTTCCTTTATTTCTTTTTCTTCTCTCATTTCAAAAGATAAGAAAACAAAACCAAGATAAAGAGATCTTCCAACCACTGGCTCACTCCTCAATAAATCTAGAGCTGCTGGATGATGTTTACTCCGAAGCTGAGCACCTGGAACTCAAGCTGTACCTCCCTCCAGAGTGGCAGAGTCCCAGATTCCTGAGCCATCCTCGGTTACTGCTTGGAGTGCACATTTAGAACATGGCTTAAGCTCAATCAAACATCAAAGATTAGTAGACTGGATTAAAAAACAAAACCCATCTATTTGTTGTCTAGAAGAGACACATTTCACCAACAAAAATCAGCAGAAACTATATCGCATGGGTTTTGATGTTTTCTGGTAGTTTCATCTCTTCAAAACACTTTCTTCTGATAAAATTCTTCAATGACTCATAGATCATACAGTAGCATCATTTTCTTCAAGAAGGTTTTTGATTTTCATTTCTTCAGCTACACGTTGGTCATTTAGTAGCATGTTATTTAACTTCATGGTGTTGTTAATTTCTTTTTTCTTCCTGATATTGATTTTCTTTTGTGGATTTTCATTTAAGGGGATGTATAGTAGCTGTGTAATGGAGACTGTCATATCTAGTAACATGTTGTTTAACTTCATGGCATTATAAATTTCTACTTTTCTTTCTATTTTTGATTTTGTACTACGACTTTTCATTTGAGGGAATGTACAGTAGCTATGAAATGGAGGCTAACATTTCCAGATGTGAGGATACAATGTAGTATGCATTTCTACTTCCAGACAAAGATGGATTAACAATGAAACTGTTTACTGTATCATGACAATAGGATGCCGGACTCTGTGCTATTGGTCCATGCCTGCGATGATGGACATACAACTGTGTAAGAAGAAGTATACTTTAGTGATGATATAGAAGAACTAGGTGGGGGGGTTGGGGATGGGATAAGGGAAATACCAGGATCCTATGGAACTGTAACATAAAACAATAATAATAATAATAATGAAAGAATATGGAATCTGCATTGGAGTTTGGAGTTCTAGCCAGGTAGCACAATCTAAAATGTGGAAACTCAAGCACACCTCTTACAGATGAAATGCTAACCTATTTTTATAAACAGGTTAATAATATAGATTAGTACTATATTAATCTTTAGCTTAATATTCATTACAATCAATTGGACTTGCATACCTGAGAAAATTATATTTGAATTCGTTACATTTATTCAATATTTATTAATCACTCACTGCATGCTAGAAACAATTTTAGACATTTTTAAAGCAAAAGTGATTGATAACTCTTTGCTTACATAGGGTTTACATTCTCAATAAACCAGAAAGGTAACAAGTGACATATGTAATTCTGGATGGCCTGATGATCCGATGAAACAAAAGACAAAGAAAGGGCCACAGGGAGTAAAGAGAGACAAGATCTTTCTCTCTGAGAAACTAACAGCTAGCCACAGACATAAATCAAATGACGGGCTGAAGGGTTGAAAGGATTTTTAAGAGAAAGACTGTTCTGAGCCTAGAACATGAGATCAGAAGGGCAATGAAGGTACAAGGAAGACAGGACAATCCTTACACAGGGCTTATGTGTCGTGTCAGGAAGTCGGATTCTGTTGGAAGTCTTGTTAAGATGCCATCATCTGCTGAGCCCTGGATCTTGTTCAGGTGTACCTTGTGCTGCTTACATGACACACATTTTCTTTATAACAATGACTTCATGAAATCAGAGCAGTGGGCTTCATTTCACACGTTGCAAACCAAAGTCTGGACATATTCGTCTGACGAAGTTCAAAGCTGCTTAAATAAAAGGGGGTTCATGCACAAGTGCTGAATGAATGAATGAATGACAAGTATTGATATTTTCTGGTTCACAGAAATGTTTTTTAATATTTTAGTTTTAACCACTGGTATCCAAAGCCTGAATATAAAACTCTGAGTAAACTAATGAGGATATTTAAGCACCCTGGGGATTTTCATGAAACCGAATATTTGAATGAATGCCAATTAATTAAAATTTAGAGAATATTGCAATATCCTTGGTGTAAGAAACAGTTAGCATTGAATTTGCAGCACTAATATCACTAGAAACCAAGAAAAACTTGTTGGGATATTACCAGTTGCAACGCCTAGAAAAGTGTTGTAGCTGTACTTCTCTAATATAACCAACACAATTGGAATTTTACAGAATAGTAGGTGGATAATAATTGTGCACATGCTTTCCTATGTATTCTGTGATTTGCACTCATTAAAACAAAACTTATTTCAAAGCATCTCTTTATTGGAACTGAACTCAAGCATTAAATATTTGGATGCAAATATTTTATCCATTTTGTAAATTGACTATCCAAGTGTCTGAGGTTTTCATCCATAAACAGAACCCACGGTGATATCCAAAAGATCTTGCTTCTGTTTTCTAATCTATTTTTCATGACTGCTTTATCTGTTGTGTGTTATACTTTCAAATCTTAAAGCAATGTTATATGGCACCCTTTAAATGCTGAGAGAAATAGATCATAGAAAAGTGCATGAAATTTTTCCTACCAGAACTCTTTGTATTTATATTTCAATGTGATATAAATGTCAATTTTCTCTCAACTCACGTTCATATTTTTTTTTGTTACAGATCTTCTTTTATTCAGTATTTTCATTATTTCCTAAGGGAATAGTGATACCAACACATACATATTGACTGCAGCTTTCTTCTCATTTAATTTTAGTTCCATCCATTATCGCTATATTTCAAATCTGATCTTTGAACATGCTGTTCAACAGTGATATTATCTAGCACCAACGTAGCACTACTAAGTCCACAGTGGAAAAATCCTTTTATCTGAATGACACAGCATTGAAGCTTCAAAGTACAGAGGAAAAAAAAACCCACTATAACCATTCAACTATTCTCTCTGCATATCAAAATTACTTACAATATTTGATTTAGGCAAATATGACCAATTTGCTTCAGCTAAATCTCACATGCTATTAATAAAAACTATCACATAAGCCAATTCTAAGGACATTGTACCACTACTTTCATTCTGTACAAACTATAAATTTTGAAGTCCACCTTGACTTGAGCATAATGATACGGATCATTCTTAAAAGGTCAATTAAAATTAAAGTGTTTTATTGTCTTATTATCTGATAATGCCATAAAGCTTTATGTCTAACAGCTTAGCATTTACTTCCTTCATTGCGCCACAATAAAAGTAACTATTGTACCTAATTTCATATTCAGCAATAAAAGAAAATGACACTGAAGGATCAGCTATGTTCTAAGTTCCTAACAGACTGGGAAAGCTAAGAATTGTGTCACATTTTCTTGTGTAAAATTAAGAATCGATGCAGTTAATTATAAACTTTAGGATGAATAATAATTCACATTTGCAACCACTACACCTTATATATATTATATCATCTTTAGGAGAAATTTAATTTTACTTAAAATATTTCACACTTCTGTCCAGTTTAATAATAGCTGAATCCACTGGTAAGTAAATCATGACTCATATTTGCCATGATAAAAATTGTATGTTGAAAATAATCTGGAAAATGCCTAACCGTATTTTCATGCCCCGCTGTTACACAAATCTGTATCTTTAAAAACAGCACACATGTACTCTTAAAGCATATATCTCACTCTGAAATTGCAGTTTAACACCTTAAATAAGTGTGAAAGATGTGGCAGAAATGTAACAAGTCAAGCCAGAATGAACCCTGGAATTCCAGTAGAAGCATACTTATGCATATGAAGTCAATGAGACATGACCTGTACCCAAATTCCCCAGGGGTGAACATGCATTTCTACTACCAGGAAATCAACACAGACAAGCATTGTACTCTTACTTTGTAAGAATGAAATAAAAATGATAAGCGAAATAATCTTAAGCTAAATCCATTTCCTACTCAAAGCAACTATGCCAAATTGTTGTGAACTGGCCCTGGAAGACAGTGGGAATTTAAGAGCGATATTTCAGCCCTGCACTAGCTCTGGCTCACGTGGCCGCTGGCGCTGATTTTAAGGATCTCTTCCAGCACCACTGTTTAGTGACAACTGGCATCAACATGAATTTCGTTATCTTATTCTTTTTTTTTTTTTTTTCCTGAAGAACCACAGTGTTCTTCACCAAGACACTACTACTTTCCCCTAATACGCATTAGTACTTTCCTCGTGTGGAAGGTAAGACGCTCTAACTGTGGGTCTGCACTGCAGAACCAAACAAGCATGCCAAGCGTTTAAAGCGGGGTCCCAACTCGTTAAGGTATTCGTAGTTTTCCTCCTGGTCAGAGGCTGCTGACCCCAAGGAGCTCAGGGATCCTGCAGTTGAGCCGGTTCCTTCAAAGGCATAGGTCTGAAGGCAGTCGAAAGGAGGCGCTCCAGGATCCGTGTCGGCCTCCTGGAGCTTCTCCAGAATGAATTTCCGGAATATGGCGCTGTCTGGGCCCACCTGCAGGGACTGTCGGTACAGGCTCCGGATGTCGGAGGCGGTGGACTGCCGAAGCTTGCGCTCCCGCCGCACGGAGCTGCTCCTCAGCTCCACGATGTCAAAGGCCTCCGTGTCGTCTTCTCCGCCCCCTTCGTCGTTGTAGCTGAATATGTTTTCTCCAAAGCCTTCACCTTTCTCGGGAAACGGAGTCTGCTTTCCTCGCTGTTTCAGACCCAACGTCAATAAAACAAACCCTGATGGAGAAAACACACCAGTGCATGAACTAATGCCCACGTGACTGCACTTTCACCGGCTTGTTAAAAACCCAAGACGGAAGCTGTGATTGGTTAGACACAGTGGTACATCTCTTGTTAAATTTTACAAAACAGGGTAAGAACAGCCTAATGAGCATTCTGGCTGATGAATCAGAGGAAAAAGCAAACATGTGTCAAGCTAATGAGGTCAACTAAATTTAACTAAAATACATTAACATTGAACAAAGTGGAATGGCCACTTTCAAGTCTGCATGTACTTCTCAATCTTGGAAATCAATGACGCAGAATGGAAGTCTGAAATACCCGAGTAAACTGATGATAATTCTTCACTCAGGCGAAATTCGGGGTTGTAATTATTTTCTAAGTTAGATCTGACTTTGAAGTGCAGACCAGATATTGTTCTAAAATATTACTGCTTATTGGTTTATGTCATTCTTATCATATGCAATTAAACATTAAAAAAAAAAAAGCCTGAAGCACAAAAGCACTGAATGAAATCCCCAGACATGACTAGGAAAGAGTAGTTCAGTACCTGAACTCGGTGAGACCACACTAACTTCAGAAAAGCCAGGGAGCAGGCACAGGTGTGTTCAGAACTGATGCAAAGACACACAGTAAGTGTAGCATGGTATGCACAGAAAACAACTTCACAACACTTCTTTAAAAGAAACACTATATGTTCACATGCGTATGCATGTGCATGTGCTTGTATGTAAGCAAGCATCCAGGACAACCAAGCCTTACACAACCTTGGGCCTTGCATTGCCGTTCCATAAACACACGGATAAGACAAGAGAGAACGGAGTTAATATCGCTATGCATGCACTTATGCAAGCTATTTTGAGTATTTGAGTATATGATCTTTACAGGATTACTCACCAAATATTATCACAATGCAGATCAGAATAGCAATCACGAGTTCTATCATGAATCCCAAGGAAAGTGCAAGCTCCTTATTCCTGCAGGACTCAGTGTTCCCAGCATCACCACAGTCACAGACATGCACTGTAAGGGTGTTTGTGCTTGTCAGTGATGGGATTCCATTGTCGGCAATTAAGATGGATATGTACAGGACAGCTTCTTCTTCAAGATTAAAACCAGTTCTATTGGTCAAAATTATAGCTGTATTATCTAAAACAGAAATGCATGTGCAAAAGTTTACATTAACATAAAAGAAACGCATATGTCATCAGTCCTGGAGTTAATTGTAGAGCTTGATCAAGTCAGTTCAATTAAAAGAGAAAGACTGGTGAATAACACATTGATCCTGAGATGCACTCAAGTCCCGTCTGTCTGCTCTGAGGTCTGGGTCTGTGCTTCAGCTTCCTGCTAATGTTACCAATGGAAGCAAAGAGGTTGGCCAAGTTACCCCAGCCCCTCACCTGGGAGACCCGGTGCGGGTTCAGCTGCTGGAGAAACCTGGACAATTAACTAGTGACTTAAATCGAGATAAAAATGTCTGTAATTAGCTAATTTGTTAAATAATAAATCCACCCAAGTTGTTGTTGTTAAGACAGAGCCAGGCATACAGAGTTTTTCCATTGCCTGTTTTACTCCCCCGGTTCCTCCAGCACTAGAGGCAGAACCGAGACAGAATCAAGAGCACAGAAGTCTGTAATTATCCCGAGTGAGTGACAGATAGACACATAGCCATTTGCTACCTCCCAGAATGTGTGTTTGCAGCAATCTGTGTAGAAAGAGGGGGAGCCAAGATACAAGCCAGACACTGCAAGTTGGACCATCAGCATCCCAAGTGGTGACTTGACTGCACCTGTTGTTATTTTAACATTATATACACATAATTATATTGATTATTTTAGTTCCAAATCTTTGGAAAAAATGAGAAACATATGCAAAACAGTTAATAAATCAAATCTCAATATTTTCTGGGAACTATTAGTCTACAATTCACACCAATCACGTTGTATCTAGGAATCACTAGGAATTCACACAGGATTTTCAAAGTTATCCATCATGGAATCTAATCCTACTCTAATACAAGAAAATAATTAATTTTACTTGGTAAGGAACATAATATTAAGCTATTTAACTTCACTTAGTTATTAACTCATTCGCAATTTACAATTCAGAAAATCATTACATTTTACACATACTGATTTTTTCATCTAGAACAACTTTAAGAATTAAAGAAAATAAACAAAATATACTTCAATATATAGGTGAGTGTATGTTACTGGATCCCAGAATATTACCAACAACCCTTTTCAGTACGTTTTTATTACCTCTCAAATATATTCTTTATGCTTTCTTTTTTTTGTTGTTGTTGCTACTTTTAGAATATTATCACCCATAAAATTTCAGAAGATAATAAAATTAAAATGCAAATAAATGAAAGCAATTTGAAATATGTGCTTTTTAAAGCAATTTTTCCAACATAATATTTTTAAATCAATCTTTTATCATACTCTTCTAATCAATAAAGCTACATCGATTTATTTACTAGACAGATCTAGGGGCCGAGAAACTATACTTTTCCCAAAATGCATTCTGTTAAATTACATCTAATCACAAATGTTAGACCAAACCATATGTTTTGTATAGTTGCATATTTATTTTGCATTAATAACTAGTTTATATATTGGTCCAGTTCTTTGGGCCTGCCTGCATGTTGGGTGCAAGGTCTATGAGCCCCGGGGCTGGGGGCCAGTGGGGCCTTGGACGGGTGGTCCAGGGCACTAATGGTACCCGGGATAGCTCACTGGCCACCTGGGAGCATGCTTATGGGGGCTTGGTGGAGTTGCAGGTGTCTGGGGGTGGCACATGTGGGGGCAGGCAGCACATGAAGGCCCAGTTTCAGGATTGGTGGTTTGATGGTGGAGTGTATGTGTCAGAACTAGACTTTCTCAATGAAAAAGACAGAGCAGTGGATGGCAGGTCCTGATGCATAGAGTATATGGCAGTCCACTGGTGCCTGCAGATGATATGTGGTACCATTTCATTGGAAAGAAGAACAAATTGGATAACTACCCCCGCCAAATAGTGACAGCAAACATCTTGGTGAATGGAGACTCTAAGGTCAACCATGTCAGGCAATGGACAATGGAAGGGATTCCTTTTCCTTGGCTCAATGAGATCGACAGCATTTTAGAAACCATCTGGGTGTAACCCTTGGAGCATGCACCACATCGGAACCCTGGGTTGATATCGGTGGCTGTTCCCCATTCCTAGGAACTGAGGCAGTTGGGAGGCTGGTTACTCCCCTTACATTCCCCCAGATTCAGAAAGAAGAAATAGAAAATTTGGAAGCAGTGGTCTCACCCACTTTTCTGTAACTCTAGATCCTTCCTACCCTGATCAACTATGTATACATCATCAAAAATAAAAGTAAAGATGTATTAAAATAACTAGTTTATATCAAAAAGCAGAGCTAAGCCTCTTCTTACTTTTCTGTTGATATTCACATGTGCTTTAATATTTAAGCATATTTGAATTACTTCTGGAATTTGACAAGCACAATAGTAAGCACGATTTGCATTTACTCTTTCCCAAAATTTTTCTCCAGGTAAATAAAGTAGTGGGATTTTGCTTAAACATTTTTAATACATGTATCTGTAGTTCAAAGAAAGATAAAGTGAAAATTCAATGCCTGGTAAAGAAAAAAAGTCTCTTTTCCTTTTTGAAATTAAAACTGGTGACTTGGAGTCATTTTTAAAGCCATCACCTGCAACTCTGGCATCCTCTATGGATGCCTGGTCCTGCTGTTTGGCTGCTGATTCAGTTCCCTGCTAATTGTCCAGGTGTGGGAGATTACCGCTGGATTCCTGCCTGCTTGGTCTATGTGGGAGGTCACAGGCACACAGCACACGATGTCCCCCGGGAAACCCCTGGCTATGGTTTTGGCTGGGACCTCACCCTGGCCTTTTTTTTTTTGGGTCATACAGGTGAGAGCTGTGGGCTGCACTCCAGTCACTCTTTTCTGTCTTGGGACGAGCTGTCCTGGGACTTCCTTTATAAGCAGGTGAGGTCTACGTTACCTCCCAACCTACCTGGTGTACATAACCCACAGCTACTTGCCAGCCGTGAGTGTTGTACATAACCTGTCACATAACTGAAGGGTCTAGAGGCACGAATGTGCCTTCTAGCCAATTGCAGTGCAGCCGTTGGGTGGAAGGACTGTCGGGAGATGCCCCCCTCCCTTCTTTCCCCTTTTTAGACTATATAAGTTTATACTTGCATTACAGTAAATGACATGCTCGATCAGACTGTCTCTACTGCTTTTTGCTGCTGAAGAACACCGTCAACTCACCTACTCATTGGTCATGGAGCCTATTGGTCAGGAAATCCCTGATTCCCTGGAAGAGCAGTTGAAGATGGCCCAAGTGCAAGAGCCTCTGCTCTCATGTGGGAGAACTGGGCAGTGCTCTTTCTTCTAGATTCCCTGTGTTGGTCAATGTGCCAGTCTGGGGCATGATTCAGCAGATGGAAGATTTCTCTCTCTTTCTCTCTCCTCTCTCTCCATCTCACTCTCTCCCTCTTTACAACTCTTTTTTAAAGGCAAATTAGTTAAACACTTCAAAACATCTCTTACTGCATGTAATAAACAAAACAAGGAATAGAAATGCTTTGTATGAAAAAAAGAAAAGAAAAAAGAAAGAAGGAAATTAATCCACTAACCATTCATATTGAAAAAGCCCTCTTCTATTTAGGGGAAAGCAGCATTTTTAAGCCAAATTCAAAGATATGCAGCTTCTAATTAATCCTACAGATATCTCTGCATCAAACAAGCTAATAAATGTCAGTGGGTAAAGTTTGTATTATTTTCTCCACAGATGTAAATTGAAATGAGAGAGATTAAACTAGTAGGAAAGAAGTAAAGGTGTCATATTACAATGGCATTTGAAGGATTATTCAGAAATTACAAGGACATAGAGTCAGCATTTGTAGGATTTGAGTCTGGATTTTGCGTTCCACTTTCCTTGCCATTCATTTTCTCCATTTTTCTGCATGATCACACTGCAGGAATAGCATTGAAATCAGTGTGGTGAATTTCATTGAAATACAATGTTATTTTCAGAGCATGGGTGGAATGTCATTACGGATAAATGACTGTACCTTGATTGTCTATGATGGTAAAACTTGAGATGTTTGTGTCTTCCACAGAGAGATTGAAATAGAAATGGTGGTCTTCAGTGGATTCATCTCTATCCACTGCACTGATAGTCTGAATTACCTAGGAAAAACAGAGATGAATTGTTATTATTATTTAGAATCAGTAAAAACAAAACAGCTGTTAATTTTATTATTTTATAGACTCCTAATGAAACCATTAAATATATCTTAATAAGATCCTGGGTTTTCTACTATTGTCTGTAACTACAGTGTCATGATACATTTAAATAACAGAGTGATGGACTTGTGACTGTGTTGAAGAATTAAACTGTTGTTATAAGGGAAATCAGTGGAGAGCAGGGGGAATGGAAAGGGTGCTGGGGGAAGTCCTGAGCCTGTGTCATGTATCATGAAAAATAAAAACTGAAAATAAAATATATATACATATATGCATATATATATATATTTTACTAAAGTCACTGGGAAAACTGTTGAAGATATCTGACAGTTGGTTGAGAATGTTAACATATTTATTCAAGAATGAGATATTTTAGTTAGCCTTTTCATATCAGTATTATCATATCACATAGTAACCAAAATCTTTTGATGAATCAGGCGAATTTCATTAGATACATTTCCTGCACACTCTCAGAGCATGTCATATTCACAATCTTCTTTGTTTGTTTCCTTCCTGCATCCTCATATGAATGCCAGTCATTATGATTTTCTGAATTTTTTGCTTATACTAAGAATAAAGGCCTGGCAGAGTTATTTGAATTGCCAGTGAAATAACTAATATAATGAATTTTTACAATGGTGAGTGGGGGTGGGAAAGAATAAAAATCTGAGGGACAATGTATAGGATTTCCTTTAAATCATAAAGAAGATGAGAATATCGTCCATATCCAATAACCTTGGCTTTCTTTCTCTGATCATGAAAAGTAAAGACATGAGTATGTCAGTCATGTAACTCATTAAAATGCTGTCAAAACCACACAGTGAGATTGTGATTAATTCCGAAAATTAAAGGAAACTTATTATACAAGTTACTGTTCAAAATTTTCTATCATGAAAGTGCTTTTAACAACACGTCACACAAAACTGTCATTAGCTCCGCACTGACATACCAAAATTTTTATTGTAACACTTTCAAGAGATTTTTCCATATGTACATAGAACATCACGAAATCAATGTAATATATGTATTATTTCCCTTCTTTGATTTATTTTTCCTTCAGCATACTTGAAATTGAATCTCAGCCATTAAATGTTGACTAAATATCCTAATAATGGCAATATTTTTCATTACATCAGTACTTATAATAATGTGATCACCACACCACACATTAATGCTTTTGAAAAGCATATTTATTTAGTTGAAAGTTTGAGCTAGAGAGGGGCGGGGGAGGAGGAGAAAGAGAGAGAAAATCTTCTATCTATTGGTGTGGTACCCAAATAACCTTCATGGACAGGAGCAAGGAGCTTCTCCTGTCTCTGAAGTTCAAGGGCTCAGGACTTGGGCATCCATCCTCTGCTTTCCCATGAGGCACGTTAACAGGGAGCTGGCTCAGAAATGAAACAGCTGGATCTCAAAACTACACCCAAAGGGGATGCCAGCATTGTCAGCAGTGACTTCACCCACCAGGCCACAGTGCCAACCCCCTAGAGTAATACTTTTACTTTTCAAAATCATATAAATTAGATAAAGTGGAGAGCTAGGAAGTACAAAATTATGGAATCCGGTTTGACATTAACAAGTTATCTACATTTTAAAAATGGAGTTTTTAACCAACTATTCAGCATGCTTTTTCAAATTTTATGCCTTAGTTTGTCAAATATGATGACTCAAAATAAGTCACATGTCCAACCTATTCATTTTCCATGAAAATATTCCCATCTATTGCTTTTACATGCTATTGAATTTGTTAATGATATTATTAAACATATATTTATTAACGTAAAATTGATAGCAATGATAAGTATGAATGCTTTGTGGAGATGAACCATCTTGATTTTTTTTTTAGGGAAGATCTGCTTTATTGTCTGAGATTTTTTTTGAAACATGAATCCCTAAACAAATGTTAAAATTGTTGCTTTTAATGTATGCAAACATAAGAGGACTGGAGAAAGGTGTGACTTTGTACTGTTTTAAACATTTTAGAATCATCTACCTCCATATTGATAAGGATTTCAACACTCTATCCTTCCAAGCAAGCTTCACCTCCCCGTACATTGCTTTACATGTACAACTCACATGTTCCACTTTCACGTATAACAGAATAAGTCATAGCTCAGATATCAGGAAATACACCGAGTGAACCTTGAGCTCATTTTTGATGAAAATGTAAATATCTAAAAGACATCAATATTGAAATGTCACAGTCTAGACTAATGGTATTTATCCTTTTTAGTAACAGAAACACTTTTGTTTCAGCCTTTAGATAAAATTCTCAGAAAAAAATTGAATTTGTTGCATGGCTAGGTTTGTAAGGAGTGTTTATTGTTTCATTTACTTACCATAGACACTTCCGGGCCTCTACACTTAGTGGAATAAAGACAAATAAAAAATAGAAAACTACGTACAAGATAAGTTCATAAGGATAGAGCAAAGAGTCACTGATAATAATTTCAAATGATGACAAATTCTGTGAACTCAATAGTTTGCATTTCCTTCGATCTCTGGATAGAATTTTATCCAATCTCTGAAAGGCATTGGATCTGCTATCCACAGAGCAGTGAACTCCACAAAGGCAACGTGTCTCTCTAGTGTATCTAAAAATATCTGTGTTAGAATAGGAACTCACCTACCTGCTGGAAGAATTTTGTAAATTATCTCAGCCAATTTTCAGAGGGTTGCTTTAGCATATGTTCTACTGCTTTTCACATTTATAAAGTATTTATGTAAAGCTTCACATAAGTTAGGTACCAAAAGTGGAGTGGCTGGGTAAAATTAATTTGCATGATGATGTCACATCCTCAGAGGAATAATAGGCATCATAACCAGGCTTCTGCACTTACCTGCTTTTTCTATTACAAACACTCAAAACATAATACCATAAAACATTTGACATGAATACAGTGCTTGGGGACCGCTCCAGTAGCATAGTGGTTAAAGTCCTTGCCTTGCATGTGCCTGGATTCTATGTGGGCACCGGTTCATATCCCAGCTGCTCCATTTCCTTTCCAGCTCCCTGCCTGTGGCCTGAGAAAGCAGAAAAAGACAGGCCAAAGCCTTGGGACCTTGTTTCTGCATCGGAGACCTAGAAGAATTTCCTGGATCCTGGCTTTGAATCGGCTCAGCTCTGGCTATTATGGCCAAAGTGAATCAGAATATGGAAGGTCTTCCTCTCTGTCTCTCCTTCTCTCTGTAAATCTGACTTTCCAAGAAAAAGAAATAAATCTTTAAAAAAAGTGCTTAAGGAAACTACCATTAAATGCAGATATGAAAAATAAGTAATTGCCATTTGATAGGTATATATCAAAACTTAAAGTTTAAAAAAATAATCAGAGTTTGACATGGACTATAGGTTAGAGTGTATCAAGTGAGCTAACACTTTAATAAAAGCATGTTCAGGATTATTTAATACTGTAGAAGACAGCAAAGCCAAAGAAATCACATTTTAAATATAAGCACATGGAATTAAAATGCGTAGGCTAAATGTGATACAATAGTGGCAGCTGCATAAGTTACAAGTTAACAATTTTATAGGACCACATACAGTATTTTTAAATTAAAGATGATTGTGGGAAGAAGTAACTTTTCTGTTATCAATCAGTCTTTTACAATATCTTTCTCCCAGAAAAAGGGCACACCTGGATAATTCTATTAAAATAGCACGCTTAAATTAATGTTTTTGAGGGGAAAAAAAAGCAAAAACAGCGTTGACTCTCAAGGGTCATGAGAATGGCCCTTATTGATACACCATTTTTTCACAATTCATCCGAGAAAACCCAATCATGCACTCTGCTGTGGAGCGCCACTCGATTTCATTCTGTTTACTTCCCTTAAAAACCAAACAGCAATCAAATCCAAGACAGAATTAGTTATAGGATAAATTGTTAGATAAGATTACCAATTGTGTAGTGCATTTAGTTATGTTTGTAGATGCTTTATTTTGAAAAAAAAAGTGAAAGCATAAGGAGAATTGTTATGTTTTCACATTTCTTGACCCTAAATAATTTTGTTTGGAGTTTTTCTGTGACATATGCTAAATATAATAATTAAGTAGTTTCAATTACCTTTTTCTTATATAATTTCTTTTTGATTTATTTTCTTTCATTCCAGATTGCTGATTTCACCATGAATGTTGACACAATTAAAGCTTTACAGGAATTGCCAAACCAGCATAGTGAGTTTGACTCAGCTAAGCAAGGGTCACATTCTATTTAATTTTAGCACAATATCAATTACACACCTATACAATAAAACAACAAAGCTCACTTCACAACATTCGATAACATGTTTGTATTTCAGTTCTTAAAATTTAGTTTCTAGGGCCTGGCGCGGTGGCGCAGTGGTTAAGGTCCTCGCTTTGCACGCCCAGGATCCCATATGGGCGCCGGTTCTAATCCCGGCAGCCCCGCTTCCCATCCAGTTCCCTGCCTGTGGCCTGGGAAAGCAGTCGAGGCGGCCCAAAGCTTTGGGACCCTGCATCCGCGAGAGAGACCTGGAAGAGGCTCCTGGCTTCTGATCGGCATAGCATTGACCGTTACGCTCACCATGGGACGGAAGATCTTTCTCTCTGTATATCCGCCTTTCCAATAAAAATAATAAATAAATTTTTAAAAAAAATTTAGTTTCTATTATACAGGTGAAACATTTCGTTAAACAGCTGATGAAACACATTAAGTGGCTTCCTTCCTCAATGCAGTGCACAGCGACAGCTTTGCTTCCATGCCAGAGAACACACAGACCCTGGGCAGCTCACCTAACTTCCAGAGGCAAAAGAACCTCGTGCAACGGGTTAGTATGTGTGACATGACTCTGACATTTACTGTTACTCTTAGCCAAGTGACTATTAACAAACCATCTGTTGCTAATTTCCCTTTTTAATGCTATGTAGCTTTTATGGAAGTCTTAAAAGAGGACTGTCGATCTGATACTGTACTGATATTCCTCAA